ACACCTAAGTCCTGTCTCCCTCATGTGATTTGCTTTTCCATTTTTAAATTTATAAGTATATCAAGTTACGGTGCATCAGAAAACATCACAAAAAAACACAGTGATCTTTATTGTTAAAATGAAACAACATCTATCAAAGATCTACACAGGAGGGGGCCTGCCTTACAGTACGTCTCTGCAGAAAAAAACTGGGTGATTTCCATGATGCTTTTGAGCAGAATGAGCTGTTCACAAAAGTTGTAAAGTAGGTGTCAAGGTTGTGCTGTGGCAGGCAGGATGTAGAAACAGATACAAGAAAGAAAACATGATAACCGGGAGCTCAGTAGGAACTCAGGAGACCAGAAACTAGAAATCAAAGAAACTAGAAAACTAAGAGCTGATGAGAAAGCAAACACAGGAGCAAGGAGGAAACATACAGCACAGAGAGGGTACGACATGACAACAGGCAGAGGAAAACACCGTGCTAAAATACACAGGGGAGAAACAAGAGAATGGAAACAGGAGGGAAACACAGCTGGGATTAATCTGACATAAAAAAAAACTATTTTTATTCTCTGGCTTTTAACTCTGTGGGTAACTGATATTTATCATTATTTTTAATTTTATTGATATGTCTGGTTTTATTACTATGTGCATATTAGTATTGTACAGCACTTTGATCTACCAGGTGTGTTTTTAAAGTGCTATATAAATAAATAAATGATGATGATGATGATGATAACAAGACGGGGAGGAAGCAAAATTGAATACACTGAACACAGGACAAGGAAGCTTAACACAGTGAATGGGGAGACACCGGGAACATAGGGACAAGGGTGACTGGGCATGAAACATGGGACATGGGAAAAGCACTGAGTAGACGTGGGAACAGAGACTAAACACGGGCTAACATAAATACTAAGGAGGAAGGACTACAATCACTAAGTACACAAGAAATAAAGAGAACCAAAACCAGGAATAACAATAAACAATCAAGATTAAATCAGAATCTGAAACACAAATACAGTGACAGTAGGATTATTGTGTCCACTTTATTATTGTTTTACTCAATGCATATTACATCCACAGTCATTAAAGGAATAGTAAGTTTGCTTAATACCACACAGTAATTGTCCAGCAATTGTGCCGTCATCAAAATTCTACCATCATTGCATTTAATCTTTCCTCGGGGAAACAAAGGGGAGTGTGATTGTGAAATGAGTGTTTGTAAAAAACCCAGTCACTTAGTAACTTGTTATTGAAGTAATTCAGGCAGTTGCAAATGCCTTGGGGAATCCATCATAGGTAGTGACACACAGTAGACAACGTGAATGTTTTTTTTGTATTTTGTTTTTTTTGTTTGTTTTTTTTTTTGGGGGGGGGGGGGGCACCAAAGGTTGGTTCTAGAATTGAGTGAGTTACTGAGCACACCTCATCAGTATATGAGATGTAGTAGAGTATAATAAGTCTCTCGCATTGTTCAATTCAATTTTATTTATACAGCTCAAAACCACAACAAAAGTTGCCTCAAGGTGCTTTGTATTGTAAGATAGATCCTACAAAAATACTTGCTGAGGAAAACCCAACAATCGTATGACCCACTATGAGCAAGCGCTTTGATCACAGTGGGAAGGAAAAACTCCCTTTCAACAGGAAGAAACCTCCGCAGAACCAGGCTCACCGGTGTCCACATTGTTGTGGAGAAATTTTAACCCACTCTTCTTTACATTCCTTCAGCTCATTGAGCTTTGTGGGCATTCTCTTATACACAGCATTTGTGTATACAGATCATTTTGTTTTAGATTTCCGGATTTATTTGGGATCAACAAAGTTTCAGCCAAGCTTTGTTTGTCAGACAAATGGTCTTACATCTAGCGCTATAACACTAAGGTCCATGCTTGACTGTAAACTGACTCCATCCATTGGGCCAAATCATCACCCATTCATCACAGTACTAAGCATTTGGTATGAAATGTTTACTGAGATCCTGTGTTTGGTTTTCTCCACATGTGGAGCAATGATTTATGAGCAAACATTTTCTTTTTGGAGATGTTTGATGTTTCAGTCCAAATGACATTGTTCTAGAAATCTTGTGGTTTGTTCAGATGCAATTTTACAAACTTAAAATATACCACTATGTTCTTTTTAGTCAGAAGAAGCTTCCTCAGGGCAATCAAGCCAACTTTTCTAAAGATAATATCATGAACTTGATCTAACATACTAAGTCAGGCCTATAGAGTCTAAGATGTGGCTCTTGCATATTTTTGCCATTTCACTGAGCATTGCATTGTCGGACCTTAGGGTGAATCTTCTGGAATGTTCCCTCCCAGGAGAATAATTCACAGAAAACAATCATGGCACCTGCACTGAAGGTTTTCTTCTTGTGAATAATCCTTCTTGGTAGGGACGGGTATCATTTAGGTTTTATCCGATACCGGTGCCAAACCGGTACTTTTGAAATGGTGCCGGTGCTTAAACGGTGCTTGAACCGGTGCTTAAAGAATGGAGAACACAAACTTTTTCCAAAAGCCTCTTATGTTTTTATTTTTAGCAGTCTCTTTTTTTTCTGCAAAATGATAACCAAGTTAGCCTTTTCTGTTGATACAACATGAAGGGAGTATTTGCCATCAAACAAGAAGACAGGCACATGTAACTACGACGGTTTTGCTAGTTCGCCTTACGTGCATTAATGTAATAACGTGGTTAGCCTACTCAACGTAAATTACACACGAACAACATTAAGCTACTCACGCAGAGAAGAACGGCTGCTGCTGCCATGTGTGAATGTGTGCGTGAATGGGTGGATGACTGGATGTGTAAAGCACTTTGGGGTCCTTAAGGAGTAGTAAAGCGCTATACAAATACAGGCCATTTACCATCATCATCCGTCATCATTTCTGCTACACTGGCAGGGCTAGGGGCCAGGACTCTATTCTTCATGTTCTTGGAGGATGTTGCTAACTCTGGATCCGGTAACAGGCACCACACCCGCAGTAGATGTGCTTGGAGTGAGGTCTCGCAGCAAGCTATCAAATACGGTGCATTTCTCGGCTTTTTAAAAAAACCCGCTATACGTCGCCAGGTGTTTCATCAGATTTGAGGTGTTACCTCCTTTGCACAGTATCACCTTAAAGCACTTGTTACAGGCTGCTGAGTTTGCATCTTTTGGTGTGAAGTACAGCCAGACTTTGACCGCTTCACCTTGGCAATTTTAATCTGTAGCTCTGCTCTAAAAAAAATGTACGTACCTGGGCCCGCCTAGTACCCTTGGAAAGGTATGCCATAATGCAGGGGTGTCAAACTCAAATACACAGTGGGCCAAAATTCAAAACTGGAACAAAGTCGTGGGCTAACGTTAATATTTATTGAAATATATTTATTCCTCCAGATATAAGAATGAATCTTTTCTTATGGACTCAAACACGTTTTGCTGAAAAACTGAATATGGAACAAGCAAAGCTTAATACTAAACAATATATATATTAGCTGTGTAATACCAGTAGGCCAGCTCTGATAGTAATTTGGTATGGCTTCGCGGGCCAAATGTAAGTAGGCTGCGGGCCAAATTTGGCCCGCGGGCCAGAGTTTGACACCTATGCCATAATGGCACCGGATACCGGTACCCATCCCTACTTCTTGGTGCCAAAATCTGCCAATCTGGCAATCAAACTGGAAGCAGTGCTGTAGTGGCTTGTGACAGCAGCTATTAGCCACCTACCATCAAATCGTTGAGGTTCATTCAGGTAGCGATGCAGATGACACCCAGCTCTATCTGTCCATGAAGCCAGATAACACACACCAATTAGTTAAACTGCAGGAATGTCTTAAAGACATAAAGACCTGGATGGCCGCTAACTTTCTGCTTCTTAATTCAGATAAAACTGAGGTTATTGTACTCGGCCCTGAAAATCTTAGAAATATGGTATCTAACCAGATTCTTACTCTGGATGGCATTACCTTGGTCTCCAGTAACGCTGTGAGGAACCTTGGAGTCATTTTTGACCAGGACATGTCCTTCAACGCACATATTAAACAAATATCTAAGACTGCGTTCTTCCATTTGCGCAACATCTCTAAAGTTAGAAATATCCTGTCTCAGAGTGACGCTGAAAAACTAGTTCATGCATTTATTACTTCCAGGCTGGACGACTGTAATTCATTATTATCAGGAAGTCCTAAAAACTCCCTGAAAAGCCTTCAGCTGATCCAAAATGCTGCAGCAAGAGTGCTGACAGGGACTAGAAAGAGAGAGCAGATTTCTCCTGTTTTGGCTTCCCTTCATTGGCTTCCTGTTAAATCCAGAATTGAATTCAAAATCCTGCTCCTCACATACAAGGTCTTAAATAATCAGGCCCCATCTTATCTTAACGACCTTGTAGGACCATATCACCCTATTAGAGCACTTCGCTCTCGCTCTGCAGGCCTACTTGTTGTTCCTAGAGTATTTAAAAGTAGAATGGGAGGCAGAGCCTTCAGTTTTCAGGCCCCTCTTCTGTGGAACCAGCTTCCAGTTTGGATTCAGGAGACAGACACTATCTCTACTTTCAAGATTAGGCTTCAAACTTTCCTTTTTGCTAAAGCATATAGTTAGGGCTGGACCAGGTGACCCTGAATCCTCCCTTAGTTATGCTGCAATAGACGTAGGCTGCCGGGGATTCCCATGATGCATTGAGTTTTTCCTTTCCAGTCAGCTTTCTCACTCACTATGTATTAACAGACCTCTCTGCATTGAATCATATCTGTTATTAATCTCTGTCTCTCTTCCACAGCATGTCTTTATCCTGTCTTCCTTCTCTCACCCCAACCGGTCGCAGCAGATGGCCCCGCCCATCCCTGAGCCTGGTTCTGCCGGAGGTTTCTTCCTGTTAAAAGGGAGTTTTTCCTTCCCACTGTCGCCAAAGTGCTTGCACATAGGGAGTCATATGATTGTTGGGTTTTTCTCTGTATCTATGAAGCGCCTTGAGGCGACTTTTGTTGTGATTTGGCGCTATATAAATAAAATTGAATTGAATTGAATTGAATTGAATTGAATTGATATACAGCATGTCATGTATGAACAAGTACTTGAGAGTTCTTTTTTATTAATGTACCTCAGTGTGTAGCATTGCGGTTTATGGGACCGCAAAAACAGAAGTGTGAAGTCCTAAATGAAGGAGTTTGTTTTTTTGTGGTGTAGTGTTGGAACATAACAACTGACCTATTGGTGGGAAATATTGTGGAGGTATTTTGAAAGAAGGACTCATACCTGTTAGTTTTACCATTTTACTATTACAGGCTAGGTGTATAGGAAGCAATGGTGAAAATGTTTTCTTGTTTTGAGTGGGGACAGCACCCAGTAGCCCACATACTACTTTTTCTTTTTCATGTTGTATGTGTAGGTGTGTCTGTATGTGTGTGTTTGCTCTCAATTGAAATAAGGTTGGAGAAAGTTTGTGACATTTAAATAATCCAGGAGAACACAGACTGGTTGGTTGGGGATGTCCCATGGAACATGAAACCAAAAACAGAAATGGAAATAGACCCTCTCGCTCTCATCTCTTACTGCTGTCTTCACAAAAGGCAACTTTCACTACTGTTTTCATGCTGAGTCTCATCCTCATAAGTGGATTTCCACTTCAAATGCTGCTATATTATTCTATCAAAACAACATCTTATCCTTACAAAAATTGTAGTTTGATTTTGACTTTTTCTTTAGCAAAACAGAATCTTTCCAAAACCAAGTCTGAGCAAGCACAAACATGACAGTTTGTCACAAGAAGTCATACTTTGCTGCAAAGCAAGTGAAGAATGTTCTCAGTGAGCCAGTTTGTATACTTCAGAATATTTGCTCATCATGGTAATAGAAACGTATCAAATTCAAACACATAGTGGCTGAAACATCAGAGCACATGAACAGAAACTACCGACCCTCATTTATGGCCACAAGCTGTGGTAAGACTAAGATCACTGACACAAGCAGTGCAAAGGAAAGTCTTTCCACAAGCGTCTGAGCTCAGCCTTAGAGAGAGTAATATAAAAAGGGGAAATTATAAAACTTCAAAAAGATTCAAAAACTAGACACAAAAACCAATCTGTACAGGCAGATTTTTAATAACTTTCAAGTCGGGGAACTCACTGAAAAGAGTGGAGTCTCCCTAAAAACTCTGACATAAAATAATAATAATAATCATTTAAAATACTCTTACATTGGGGATTGTAATGGAAGCCTCATTTTGCTATGTAGGGCTTAGGTCTTAATACAACTCAAAAACGCATGCTATATAACTATACACCACTTAGAGAAAGATGAGGATTGGTCTTTAGAGAGGGCTCAGAGAACTCTGGTTGAGTTAGTTTGAGCATCTGACTAAGTTTCTCCTTTGCTGCCTTTTAGGTGTCAAACTATGAGGCGACCTTGGGAAGGACCCAGAGATGAGCAGTTCTGCCTCTTGGTTGGCTTGGTTGGTGCCACTGGTGTCTTCCTCAAACGAGCTGGAGAAGCATATGATGGAAAGGGAGAAAAATCTGCATCAGACAGGGATGCATTGAAAGGTCCCTCCCTGGTCGGATGCAAATCAACACGTATTCCAAAGAAGGACTTCAGCAGCCTGAGGTAGTCAGTCATTTAAGTACCCATCTGCTGCAAAGAAACAGTGCAGGAGTGCGACTCTACCTTTGGGTGGTACTTATTTGATTTCTCTTGGGATAGTTTTATGAAACAGTTTATGCCTGCCTTGGAAAACATCCACAGGTTTCAGTGCAAGAAATAACACCAAACTGACAGTGACCTGCATGCAATTTTTAAATATCCTAAAATTGAGGCAGCTAAATGTAAAGAGCAAAATGAGAAACCTTGGATGAATTTTGAAAACATCATTGGGCCTCCAAAAAGGAACCCAGACTTTGGTTAAGCTGCAGAAGAAGAAGTAATGTTGTGTGAGACACTAGATGAGCAACAATAATAGATTAAAAAAACAACAACTTTACAGCCCAATAAAATGAGTTGTTGGGCTGGACCAGAAAACTCTACTATCATTATCTATAAATAACACATCTTAATGTTCTCTCAGTTTTCTTTTAGTATACAGAAGCACAGTTTGGAGAAAAAAACATCATGAGTCATCTTCATGTCTCAGTTTTTCCACAGCCTGTGCCAATCTACAGCGATAAATGAAAGCAAACAAGTGGCACAGATTCTTGACTAAAGCTAGTGACATCTCACCGCTTTCTTATGTTTGTTCATAAGTAAACTGGAAAAATGAAAAATGATTAAAAAAACAAACATGCTTTCACTTATTTCCTGTTATGTGTATACTATTACAAATATATACTTACAATAAAAATGAGCTGTTTTATTTAAGAAAAACTGACATATTCCAGGTAATGAAGTCTGAATATTTCTTTTTTTTAATTTAACCTTTATTTATACAGGTAGTCCCACTGAGACTCATGGTCTCACTTAAAAGAGAGACCTGTTTCAGACAAACATATTATAATTGTTGAATAAAAAACAATAAAATAACTATCTAATGTTTACACCCATCATATCAAAAACAAGGACAAGTTCATGTCATTTGTCTTTTAATGTCTGCAAGAGAAATCTTAATACCCCGGGATAAACAGAGTCCAACAGAGGGAGAGAATGAGCAGGGTTTTCATGGAAATGATATCACTGTGATCAAGTAGGGGTAAAATGATGTTAGCAACAAGCTTTTTCCTTGCAGTGAAAGAGAAACACAATCAGTTTTGGAAAATGAACTCCAACGTCAGCCTCTTTAACCTGCTAAAGTTTCTTTAACTGGTAGTCAATATGTGGCTTAAAGATTATTATCAATCACAATACCCAAGTACTTCCGCCACCCTCCTATTTAAATAAGGAGCAACATGACCTTGTTTTTTGTGCATTTAAAATTAGTCTGAGCTGACACAGCTGTGACTGTTACTATCAAAGCTCGCTGTGTGAGCACAACAATAAATGATTGTATCATATGCGTAAAAAATTAATGGGTGGATTTACATTTTATCCCAAGTCATTAGCATAAATAGTGGCACTCCATTAGTTGCATTTAAAAAACTAGAAATGAGACCATAGAACTGCACATGGTACTGGTCTATGGCATTGGTCTATGGCATTGGTCTATGGCATTGGTCTATGGCATTGGTCTATGGCATTGGTCTATGGCATTGGTCTATGGCATTGGTCTATGGCATTGTTCTTGATGGTCTATATTGGTCTATGGCATTGTTTGCATTGGTCTATGGCATTGGTCTATGGCATTGGTCTATGGCATTGGTCTATGGCATTGGTCTATGGCATTGGTCTATGGCATTGGTCTATGGCATTGGTCTATGGCATTGGTCTATGGCATTGGTCTATGGCATTGGTCTATGGCATTGGTCTATGGCATTGGTCTATGGCATTGGTCTATGGCATTGGTCTATGGCATTGTTCTATGACATTGGTCTATGGCATTGGTCTATGGCATTGGTCTATGGCATTGGTCTAATTGGCCAAGCAGTTGGGTGGCAGCCAAAAACACAGACTTCAGACTCACCTTAACACAGTTTTTAATACATGTGGCTCTTCATGTTATCAATGAGAGATGATATCTTTAGTATGGTCACAGAAATTGATGAAAAAACTGTCTTACAAGATGCCTGAAGGAGTTTAAAATGGTTGTTTGAAATGGAAAATGAGTTGCCCAGGCCAAGTGTTTGAAAAAGAAAGGATTCTTTTGAACTCATGCAAAGAAGTAACAGTAAGAACGAATACAGAATACACGTATACACGTATACACGAATACACGAAAACATGTCAAGTGGATTTATGTTGTATACTTGTATTACAAAGAAAAGACCAGACAACGTATACACGTATACACGAATACACGAAAACATGTCAAGTGGATTTATGTTGTATACTTGTATTACAAAGAAAAGACCAGACAACGCCCCCCCCCCCCGGGCAAGTGTATGGTATCAACAGGGTCTCTTTTTTTACAGGACAAGCTCTCTAGCAGAAGTTCTTGGACAAGTCATAACTAGTTAAGGAGTAAGAGGAAGGGGAAGTGAAAAAATAGAAATACCACAAACAACAAAGAAAGCAAAAAGCAAAAAGTAACCTGGAGCACAGGGAAAACAAAAGTCTGTCTCATGAAAATATGCAGTTATGGCATTTCTTGCATGGAGGGGGGGTGAAAAAAAGGCAACAGAAGAGAAGTGCTCAGTGCATCATGGGAAGTCCCCCAGCAGTGAGAGGCTGCAGCAGCATAATGAGCACTAGGCTCAGAGTCATGTGATTAGCTGTATCAAAGTGAAAGTTTGAGGCCTGATGTTAAAAGCAGTGGGCAATCGATTCCTTTTTCAACATACAGGAAAACGTAAAAATAACACGTTGGCCTTCTAATCTGCAGTCAGTTATCTTCAACACGTGAGCCACCGAATGGCCCGATGCAGCTATATATTTCCCGCGCTTTTATCTACAAGCTGCAATTATAAATGCATGAATAACTCTCACTCTCACCCTCTGAATAGCCTTAGATCTAAATTCAGGCTACATTCAAGCTGATTAGTTGTGATTAAAATAGACTCTGTAGAGTGACACAACGTGGCCGCAACTCATCAACAAGGAACCTGTATAGCGTGCTTTATTGCACACGCACTGTATTTCCTCATCACACATCAGGTCAGTTAAGAAGAAGAAAAAAAAGCCCCTGTCATTTGTTTGGGTGTTAGAAAAGGGTGACTTTGACCTATAAACGTGGGAAATCACAAACCACCCACAACACACATGAATGTGTCAGCGAGGGGCCGCACCACTGGAACGACGCTTATCTTTACATCTTTTACGACATTTTGCACCTTTTTACTCGTCTGTTTTGTAAATATATGTTTCTCTTACTCTAAAGTCATTGTGCATTGGAAATGCATGAAACTGCATGAAATTTTGGTTTTTAGGTTTTATTCAGTTTCACACCAGGCTGTATGAGCTGGTTTGTAGCTCTGTGCTGTTCACCGCCCCACCACCTACACCACAGCCTCCTTCCTCCCATCTCTCAAACTACTCTATAAAAAGAAAAAAAACTCCATCTAATCTTCACTACAAGCTCATGTAACAGGGAAAACCCTGACAACCTGACATGTCTTTGAGAGACAAGCACCACATGAATTTGGACAGTGAGAGTGCAACACACACTAGGTGAGTCAAGATTGATTTAGATCCTATTGTATATATTGTCTTAAATTCCTGTGATTTCTTTGTGAATGTTTTCATTCAGAGGTCTGTGGTTGAGCTCAGTGCTGCCGCTGTGATGCTTACATGACAGAATATAGAAAGTTTTTACAGAAAAGGGAAGGCGTGTTCGGGGATACGATTTTTCAGCTTTCACACAGAACTGTGTAGAGCGTAGTAATGTAAAGAGCCCAATAATATGTCCCTTTGTTTATTTTTCGGATTTTGTAGTGATTTAATGACACTCATATTGGCTTTTTGACTAATTCCCCCCCAGAAAATGAATTGCTATCCATATCGATTTTAGAGTTCAGATTAAAGAGACAAAATCGTGAGCGAATTGCAGACTGAGTGGTTGAACCAGTGTTTTCACTGTCTAACCCAGGCACAAGTGCAACTATGTGAAGCCTGCTGTGCATCCTCACTGGAATGTAAATTAAACCATAGCAATGTGCATTGGACGCACAGTTCAGGGTCAGTGGCATTTTTTGCAATCACTGAGTGGTTTCTGTCTATGTCATTACAAATAAACAAGCAGACCACAAAATGTTGAACCATAGAAACCCTGTGTACCGGACAAAAAAACTCCCACTGAGGTAAAATCCCAGACAAGCAGCAGCATGGTTAGGTTAACCATAACACGGCAAGTGCAAAGCAGCCATTCTAGGAGCCATGTAAATGATTTCTGTGGGGTCTGGTTTAAATGTGTGTGCTTGTGGTCACAGGATTATTGAGGCCAGTTCTTCTTTGAGTCATGTTAACATGTCACATTGACTTCATCAGGGCAAGAATTCAGTGACTTCTCTTAGAAAGTTGTCATTTCATAAGACAGCGAAAGTGAGAACTTACTTGCAACTCATCTCACTGTCTGGCTTTGCACTCTGACCTAATGGAAGAGGTGGAGGTGTACAAGTCCCTAAAGCACAATAGGTGAAGCACGCTGAAGAAAAAATGCGCTCTTTCTGCAGAAATATACTGGGATAGTTGCTCAAGTGACCCTCCCAGACCCCACCCACCCCTAAAGGGGCGCAATTTAAAATTAAAGAGGTCATGACATCACAAATGAGAGGATATATTGTTGAATACTAGGTAATAAAACTTTCTTGGAGCTTTAACAATGGTAAATTTGTTCTCAGTGTCCACTAGAGTGGCGTTGCATGATTCGCTGTTCAAAATAATCCTTCTAATATATTCACATTTAAAAGATGCAGATATAATATCAAGAAAACTTTATAATAAAAGTAAAAAGGTTATTTTTGATCCTGATGTTTATTTAACTAGGAAATGGAAGTCTTGATTTTTTTTTATTTGAGGGTCCTGGGTCAAAGTGGAGCTCTGCATGCTCTGCCACCTTTGAGGCCTCAGTGACAGAGCCAAGAGATGAAGAAAGAAACCTGTGAAACAGAATATTTAGAGCAGTCAAAATCTTGATTAACTGGTGTTAACTTATGCCAGAAGATATACTAATTAAAGTCATTCTCTCAAATGAAAGGCCGATTTGTTAAATGGTTTTGTGCGTACTTGTCTGACAGAATGGGGGATCAGCCAAGGTCGTCTTATAGGCACCTGCTGCTGCAGGCTTGGTGCAGTCTCCTCACCGTGGCCATGGTGATTATGGCTGTACATCTCGCTACAATGAATCAGAAGCCAGCAGAGGTCAGTATGCCTGCCACAAACACAGATTTCACTGAGATTCATGTTGACTGCTAGCAGGGTCATATCTTAGTTTGCATGTCTTAGTTTGCATCAAGAACGCGCTTGTAAAAGCACATGCTTTGCTGCTTGTAATTTGTGTAAATACCATATTTATTACGGTAAAGTAAATAAAATGAGCCCCACATCTACCCTTATCGGTTTATTCAAAGACATTAAGTCAGCTCTAGACACCCAGTTTGTGCCTCTAGATGGCAGCAACACCATGAGTTCCTCTTGCTTGCTCAACAAAAGGAAGAATGCCTTAAGCTCTTGGGTTCTTTTAATTTCTTTTTTCTTCTTCTAAAAAACATCCCCAGAATTAGAAAATAAGGCCAGCAACATCAGCCTCACAATTACAGGGCCATTAGTCCCTCTTTGTTTCTAGGTGGAAGTGAAAACCTTCATCTTTGATGATTTTGTCAGATAGCACTCTCATGGGAACACAGAAACTCATTGTGTTTGAAAAGTCTCTCCAGTGTCTGTTAAACATGGCAACTATAAAATAGAGCCTTTAGAGAAGTGGAGCTGTTGCAGACTGAAACTGAGAATTTCTCTATGTGCATCCATCCATCCATCCATTCTCTTACGCTTATCCTTATGGGGCAGAAATGTTTCGTCACTCATCCAAGCGACTTCAGTCTCAGCTGACTGCAGGTTTCCCCCGCCTTTAAACAGTATATTTTCATAATAACCACTACCATTAAAATGCAGGTTCTCATGGCCACCTATCCGTGGCCATGAGAACAACATACAGAGTGTTGGGGAATGACTGCGATCACAGTATTTGAAGACGGTGAAAGATGTATCCTTCCTCATGGGTACATCTTTCACCTTCTATAATACTTTGATTTTAGTCATTCCCCAATTCTGTGAACTCTGTAAAAACTTTTCTGGGATTTCCTTAAGTGGAGTATTGATCGTGCATAAAGACAAACAATTCCTATGACCATGTTCAAAACATTTTCAGGATATTGACTGAAAACGAAGCAGGCTGTAATTTCCTTTAATTCCAGTTTGTACTGCAAGAGCACATCCTTATTTACAATAGTGGAAAAGGTAAAGGCTAAAGGGAAATGTGAGTACTTGGAAAAACAATATAAGACAAACAGCCAGGGACAGTACAAAAGATGGATATAGCTTCACTGACATCATCTATTAGATTCAGAAGTCTTGAGTTTTGAAACCTCTAGATGATTTTTTTCACCATATTGGTTACAAATAAGTCAGATTTGACCAGGAAGGCTGGGTCTCACTGTGAAGCCGCTTGTTCAGTGCCTAACAGCGGATGACTGACACGTTGTTAGCCAACAAGCATACTGAAATGAGAGATTGAGCTCACAAACTGAGGAGTAACTTGTGTATAGAGGTCAGCTCACAGATTTCTATAGAAATTGAAGTCTTTTTGCAACCACAAATATCTATGGTGACCTTCTTAAAGGAAGGAGGTTTACGGCACACTTGTTGAGCATGTTTTGATTTTTCCTCAAGGTTGGAGTCCCTACACCAGAGACCATCAACTCAACTCATTCAGGTCACATACAAAGGCAGACTCAGGAACCTTTTAAGTCAGGTAAATATCATTTGTCACATTTATCATGGACAATCACATAATCGTAAGACTGAAAATGTCATAATCCTTTAAATTATTTTGCATTTCAGGAAGCTCTCACCCATTCATCCAGATTTCCCACCATAATGGACGTCCGTCTGTAGGTGAGCTCACATCTTTTCATGTGGGAAGTTGGCATGCTCTGACAATCATGAGTTTCATGAGAAAACCGTATCCCTTGTTCTTACTATGTCTTTTTACACCAACTTTTAATGATCACACAGACAAATCTTAACTCTGCTACACATCCAAAGAGACAACTCTCACTTGTTACTGATCTCGTATCACGATGATGCCTGCCATGCATAAAAACTACTGTTAAACTGGACGCCTACAGATGCTGAGTGCAACGAGCTCAGACATGTCAGTAGCAGCTGAAAGTCATTCTGAAAAACGTGGGCAGCCTTCAAATGAGGCGCACGAGGACACGGCGGGTTGAGGGGGAGGGGTGTGAACAAACAAGTAAATAACAAAATAACACCTAATTTGAATATTTCAACCAACCTGGGGTTAACTAACTGAGTCTGTTTAGACTCTGTGAAAGAAAAGAAAAAAAGGTACAACTTTCTACAAATTCTATATGAAGGCACATGTTCTCAAATACTTAGAACTTAGACAGGAAACTGATAAACTGCTGTGTTTCTCTGTGTTTTATCTCTAATCTAAAGTGGATGGGTGATAAAAGCTGACGTCATGTTTCAGTTAACCAGTCTGACAGTGGATGGATTTATTAGTATTTCCTTTTTTAATACACTGCAGGTACAAGTTTATTTCCCCTCCAAAGTGTTTTCATGTGTTACTACATTAACAGTCTGATAGGAATCCCTTTACGACAAGAGCAGGCCATATCTGTTATTAAAACCACTAAGTCAAGAATACACCAGCTCCGGTGTGGGTGAGGAGGAAAGAAGCCAAACGCAGGAACGGCATTGGGAATCTGGTCATGTTCGGATCCTGCTGTGATCTAAAGTTGTGCAAAGCTTGGAACAGAGATGCGACTTTAAAGACGCCTCGTTTTCTCAACGCCATGCTGTATATGAAAGATGGATGTGGCCCCTGTGAAGCTGGGTTGAGGTATTTTTGCATTGGCTTCACTTTTCAAACTCAGAGGCTACTTCCATCTTTTATATACAGATTATGGGTTAGGTAAAGACCCCTCTTGGGATTAACATGGTTATTTCTTCACACGTTACCCCTTTTTGTTGGGGTTTACCTTCCACATTGAAGAGATCGTTTTATTTAATCTCTTTGTCAGTTGCATCAACATTATTTTGTGAGCAGTTTTCTTCTTCTTTTTCAAGATAGCATTAATATGCAGTGTGACCATCTACAAAATGCTAGGTTGGACTGATTATTTCACATTATCTATTTGACATTTGAGATGTCATCAGTACAGGTATATTGTGACACGTTTAGTTGTGAGGTTAATGTGCTCTTTAGTTTATAGTTTTGACAACAGGCAGAAGTGAAGATGTTACTTTTTTTCAGATCCCATTGTGGTCTGGCAACGGCACAAAGAGACATATTATATTTCATTTTCTGTCCCACGGTTCCCTTTATAATTCACTTTGGTCTTATAGCTGTGGAGAAGTTACTGGCTACATTTGGAGAAGGTATTTTTTATGCCAGCGGTAGAACAGATTAAAACCATGAGGTTTATTGTGTTGAAGAGATAAAAGTTATCATACTTATCCTGCTGACGAATAACTATTACATCTACGTTTTAAAAGTTCACCACATCCACAAAGAAATCCTCTGCACGGGTTAAACCGTTGAGAAACACAGAGCCGTGCAGCCTCATTATGTTTCCAGTCTCATTTACTGTTGTCCTCCCACTATGCAGCAGTTTTCCTGTGTGAAGTGGGTTTGTAAAACCACAAGAAACCCGAAGCAGCTCTGTAATGTGGGCTGCACCGACTTAACGTATAACTACAGCCCACAGCAGCAGATTTCACAAGTTCGTCAGGTGGTATGTTGCAGGAAAATTAGACACTAATTGGAAGATCAGCTTTGTTTACCTGGTGTATTTATTCAGCTGTGATTATGGGGCCCACTGATCTGAAGCAGAGAGGAAAAAGCACTTCCTTTCAGGAAATTCAAGAAAAAAAAGACACTTTTTGTTAGTCATTAAAAAAAAACAAGTCGGTAGGAGAGTTTCCTCCATTTCCTCTTTCATGTGGTTTTCTTCACTTCAGTTGACAGATTAATAAGGCATGGGTGTCAATGTTGAGCGCTAAAATATTCATTTATTAATAGTTATTATTATCCCTGACTCCGGTATTCACCCGATTCTTTTCTGTACGCTCAAAGAAAACGTGTGTAAAGTGGAAAAACCAGCATTCAATTACCGTAATAACGCTTATACCGATTTACTGTCAGATATCATTCTATATTTAAACGCATTGAACTGATTTAGACAACAAAGGTTAACCCAGCTCGCCCCCGTCTTCTGTTTTGTTTCCCTCTGTGGAAAACCGGTCAAACACAGAAGATTAGATATTAATCTGAGATATTTCACTGCAGTCCACAAACTATAATTAACCTTCAAAGCTTCAAAGAAAACTTTCCCACATACAGTGAGAAACTACTCCACTGTGAGGTCTGAGTCAACAGCTACCAGTCTCTGTGTTCTCATCACCGGATCCGAGAGACATTTGGAAGAAACTCCAGCAAAAGTTGACATTTTCTCGTCTGCCTAATCAAAGATGTAAATTAGAGAGTAATTAACAATGATGCAGTATTTATCGATGCTGCTGAACATCAGCTGCAGCGCTACCATCAAAAATATCAGATATGAAGCGCAATGGTGCATCCATTGAACTGGACATCACGTGCTAAAGTTTCTGAATTTTTCTTACTTTTCTGGAGCCCCTTAC